ATTGAGGAGGTTCTAGGGATTACACAAAGGAGATTTTTGAGATGTCGAAAAGTATTTTTAATGTTAACATGAAAATTACTTTGCACACGGACTATTCAAAACAAATACTCAATATATTCATGTACAAAACTTTATTTTATTAAAAGTACTTCACTAAGAAATATTACTTTTTGTATGTGAAAGACTTGTAATATTAACTGAAAGACTGCCAAATTTTGTGAAGATATACCCAATATATAGAGTTATAAGTATTAAATTGATGTCAACTTTAAAGGAGTACAGAAGGTCACGTGACTTGGTCCAATCGCCCGACCCCGTGTCAAAAGATTTAAGTAGACTTTTGACAAGAAGAAGATAACTATACAGTGTTTAAGATATAACTATGACCTCCATAGTGTGAGGAATTTTTGTACATACATTTAACTTGTTCCAAATATATACATTATTTTAAAAACAAGTGGAATGCATGCTGTTCGTTTATTTTTCTAATTAATTGCCAACAAGTCACAGACATCTACTGTAGAAGAATCTTTAGCCCAATGCACCCATATATTTATATACTTAATACATACTATTTAAAAAGTAAGTTCCTGATAGAATGCTAAGGACATTTGCTTCACATTAGGTAAAATATATTCTAAATTTTAAAAAAAGTACTAGTACAAAAATAATTCCTCATTTATTTCAAAGTTCACTTGAGTCAAACAATGTACTTTCTTGGGAAAACCATTAAGATTACAGGATTATTTTAAATGTAATTTAGCCAAAATACACTGCACTAGCATTAATTTTTTTTTATGACCTCTACTGTCCTTTCTTCTTCGAGAGTGGAAATGGTACCAGTGTGAGTACAAACAACATTACTCCTACTAGCAGGGCTAACAAGAAGGGGGAGGGGAGCAAGGAGGGTAGCTGCCCCAGGGCCTGGGGTCTACTGAGGGGGCCCGGTAGTGGGATATTCCAAAGCTCACTAGAAATGCATACTACTTAATGAGCTAAAATGGCTACTGCTTTTTATGGATCCACAAAGAAATTTGTCCCCTAAATTTCTATGAATCAGCAAAAGTTAATAGAATGTAAGGGGGGGGGGCCCGATGATAATACTGACCCCAGGGCCTGGACTGTCTCTCAACACCCCTGCCTACAAGCCAATTAGCTTAAGAATTTTTGAAGGGAAGAAAAACAGCTGAAATACAAGTTTTATATGGGGAACTTCATTTATCTCTGTTAAAAAATAAAGCTAAGTTGGTGGTTTCATTTCAAGAAGATAATAAAGTAGGTTCATTTTTCCCATCAGTACTTTAAAAAATCATTAAAATAAGACACTGACAATCTTTAAACAATGAGTTTTTCTACTTCATATCAACATAATTTAGTACAAGTATGTAAAAAACTAGATTAGTATCCGTTAAAATCTTGGTACAAAGTGGTTGAATAGCATGGCATTCACAAAGTTGCATTTATTAGCATAACATTATCTATATCACTACATTTGAAGGAGGTTATGGGTTTCAACAACATAAATATGACGTACCATTCCAGTAACTAAGATATTACATTCAGTTGTGTCCAAGGCTAATTGATAAAATGTAATGACAAAAAGTTAATATATTATGTTTCACATTACCCATAGTTTACAGAAATGTTTGCATTTGAAAACATTCCTGTTTGTGGATGTAAATTTCACAAGGGTACAATATGTGTGAAGTTCTACCAGAAATATAACTGGCAAAGTAAACAAACTTTAAAAAATTTATTAAATTTTACATATGTAATTCACAATGATGAATTACGATAAAAAAGTTTTTCAACTTATTTCTTTGAAAATAGAATATGCTCAGTTTTTAGTCATTCAAACAAAAGATTTCATGACGTATTTTGTCATAATACTCATCTTGGAATGCTACTGTTTCATTGTATTATAAGGTGAACACAATATCTAAACACCAAACTTACAAACCATGCTGCATATGCCAGTTGGTTAGATACAATTGATATAATCTTTTGGTTAAAAAATAAACAAACTGTATTTTGTTCTGTAACTGTTAGTTTAAAAACAACCGTAAACAATAAAAACAAATCTGAATGATATCAATAGCTGACACTGCTACATTATAACACAACATTTCAAAATGAATTAATTCATTTTCAATTAACATGTATTTTAACTTAATTAACAAATTACTCAAACCTTTTGTAAAGAATATGCTAAGTTTATGTCAACTATGTAAAATTTATAATTTAGAGCCTGTATCTCTACTTCTAGTAAATTTTTGATACAAAACCATACAGTTTAATATGTCATGTTACTTAAATAATCATGCATACATTTTTAAATAAGATTTATACTGCTAAAGTACTATTGAGTAAATATCCATTATCTTATATTTTACATATAAACAAATAAAGCATATTAACTCTTTCACTGCAGCTGGGACATATATTCCCAGTGTTCCCATCCCTTCACACTGCAACTGAGACAAATGTTTTCCAATGTCATTGAAAATTGCTACTCATGACGTATGGAAAGTATTTACTGTCATTCCATCTAATGTTGATATGTGGTTTTACTCAATATTTTCCACCCAACCCTTTAGTAACCAACAAGATGCCTAAGCGGAATGTATGACAACCGTGTACCGACTGTGTCTGCATCGCTAGAGCAGCGAGTAATAACCCTAATTACTTTGTAAATATGCTCGACGCACTTGACTCGGATAGCTTAGAAAATAGTGAAAGTGTGTCAAGTGGTGTTCAAATGCATGATGAAGAAGAGGCGGTGAGACAAGAGGATGTTAGCTATCCATCTAGTGATGATAGTCAAGATGATGAACCTGGACCCAACAGAGGAAGGCGTAAACAGCATCAACAAAGGGAAACATTTGTCCCAGTCACAGCATGATGGGATAGGAATACTGGGAAATATACATCCTAGCTGCGGTGAATGGGTTAAAAATATCAATGCTTAAAATGATAAAATTATTACAAAATATCAGTTAAAAATAATACTGTGTACAAATCTATTTTACCAAAAAAATGTACTTTGTACAACAGATATTAAGTATTATAGATTTAGGTTGAACACCTTGTAGTCATAAAATATCATAACACCATTACTTTTAAGGGCTTTTTAATTAACTGAAAACTTCATGATCATAAAATAATACTTTTACTTTGAAAACCTAGTAACACAAGCCAAATATGCTGATATTTTTGGGTTCAGAGTAACTTTCAGTTCCAATTTCTTTTAAACCTAAAAGCATACTAATCAAACTTTGAAAGAGATGAACATTATCTAATCTGACTGGACTAAAATAGTGACAAGACTTTTCATTCAGTGCAGAAACGTCACAAAATGTAACTAAAGATAAAAACTAAAATTGTTTACCTTAGCTGATTCTTTCAAATGGAACATAGCAGGATCATTAATACTTTTTCCCGAAGCAGCCTTAGTAGCTTGGATAAGGTCACCCAAGGCATTGGCAACATCCTTGACAGCATTAATAAGGAGAACCTGTGATGCAACAAAGAATACATACCATAATACTAAATTAACAGTACAAGTGTTACTACAGTTTACAGTAATACTTTTTATAAAAAACTCAATAAGTAAATAACAATGATGGTCATTTTAAGTTACATTTCTGTTTTTCTTGAAAGGTTTTTGCTGTGTAACAATGCAGATAACACTGTCAATCCCATATTGATTACATTGGAAATGATTTTAAAAAAACATTTTCATTTAAGTTAAATGTTATTTTAACTTGTCAATTTTAACATACAGTGCAACTAGATGCCAATTTATGATTGAATATGTTAACACTAAATCATCATAAATAATTCACAAACTTCAGGATGTGAAGAAAAGTTTTGAAGATGAAGACTTGAAAAAACTGGGGAGAAGTTTTCTCCAACAAAACAATAATAAGTTATTTATTTTATTAGTAAGAGTATTCCTTTAAGAAAAATACGATGCTCACACTTGTCTTAGAATTTGTGACATGTACTACAGTGTTTTGGAATAATCAGGATTAACACTTAAAACTTCCACGTGTTGTAAGAAATGTCTTTTACTTATATACTTTATTATATTCATACTAGCATTATTTTAGAGTGAATTTATTGGAATTATAAAGAAACATATTTTCTTACTTCATTTAGTGGAAAACAGTCTCATAAATTACTTAAGACTTCTACTATAATAATAAAAAGTTTTCATGATTACTAAAAGTCTTCTACTGTTTTTTATTTTACAAAGTTGAAACCACTGATCTTGGAAAAAATATTTTCCTTTAAAAGAAAAATCTAAAGTAAATTATTTTAAGTTCTAAATGCTTGACAGAAGTACAACATTTTTTCTTAGAAAACATTTTTCACAGACAAAATCAGTGAGAATTAGTTTTGCTAGAAATTTTTGTTTTACACATTTCAGTTTTTAGAACTGAAAACATTAATGTATTGATGCATTACGTCAGAGGTAACAAATGTTAAGTCTAAATATTGAAGATAATAACTCCTCTTGGTAAACATCATTCACAATATTATTTAAATTTCTATATTGGAACAGAAGTAACCATGATCTACTCAGTGAAGTGTACCTTAAAAAATAAAACAACCTAACTGTAAAAATTGATGTGATTATTATTTAATGTTGATATAAAGTGTTAGAGAAAGTTCTACACTAGTTTCATTATAGCAAAAAAAAAAGGTTACGTGGTCTACAAAAACTAAAACAGTTGAAATGATTAAAAGACAGACTGTCTTTTTAAGTCCTACCCAACAAAAATTTTGATTAAAATATGGTATAAATAGTCAAGTTGAATTAGTCAATTAGGTTGAATAGTTAGAATGACACCAAATTTATACTACATACAAGACACATATCAACTAAGTGGTGAATGAAACAATAAACTTTGGTGAAAAGTAGGAATATGCCAGATCCTGTGTGGGCAGCCCATTGGCCAATAACCACGTGTGGCCATTTCGCAAAAATGTGTGGCTAACTCGTAGAATCATCTATAGTTTGTTTTTTTAGCTGGACAGAGGAAAAGAATGCCAAATCTCTCACTGAAATTTTACACTTTTGTAATTTTGAAAAAGTAATTTTTTGTACTTTTGCATCATGTTTATAATTGACCTTGACTGTCGTTAGAATCCTGAAATAAATTTATAAATAAATTTTCTGTTTTATTAATAGTGTGGTCATTTCTATGAATGACTGGCCACATCCATGGCCAAGAAAAAATTTGGTTACCCACCCGTGTGCTAGATCTATTTGTTTGTTTTAGATCAAGTTACACAAAGGCTATCCATGCTAGCCTGTTCTTAATTTTGAACTGATAAACTAGATGAAAGGCAGCTAGTCAACAGCACCCACTACCCCAAAGTACGATGTGCAATTTTGTGGCAAATGCAAGCGAACTACAGACTCTTGAATCAACATTAAAGCAAGCTAACCACCCAGCTTGCTAGTATTGCAAGATTGGACTCAGAATATCATCACACTCAAATGGCTTTTTTTTTTTCATCACCATATAAGTTATCTATACCAAGATGTAATACATACCACAATGTTTTTACAATTTCTTATTATTATTCCTTATTTAACAACTAAAAATATAATTTCTTATAAAAATAATGGCTGGAGACGGCTTGAATGGGTAATG